CTTCTTGTTACTACTAGTAAGGCCCTTGCTCCTAGTAGCGATGCACTCGTTACTACTAGCTTATTGTTTCTAAATGCTTCTTGTTACTACTAGTAAGGCACTTGTTACTAGTAGCGATGCACTTGTTCCTTCGTTCGAGTTCCTAGAGGTAGAATGTCTTCTCCGCTCAGGATGGTATTGTGTTTCGGGTTATGTGGGAACGGCGCAACGGCTTTGCAGCAGCAATGCCACGTGTGGAGTTGTGGTGCCCTGGAAAGAAGTTGGTTAAAAAAAGAAATTAACGAATCTTGTCGTTTGCACAAATTCTGTTCCTTTTTCCCAGTCTTTCCCCGACAAGATTCGCCCAAGACACGGCTCATTGCCCTCGCAGCACTTGGTTTGGCACAGGCTTCTGTGAAGCGGATCGCTATATTAGACCTTTCAACCTAGAAGCAATGGCCTCCAACCTCGCAAGAAGAAGTTATTTTTAATGATGTGCATGGCCCTCGACGAACTCGGCTTTCCACTTGAAACAGTAAGAGCTCAAAGCCCAACACAAGCAGAACTCATCTTTGGAGAACTCACCAGAAATTCCCTTTGCGGCTCAAGCCTCTCAAAAATGAAGAGATGAAGTTTTCAAGATCACTTTGTCGCTTCTAGTTACTAGAAAGCTTTATTGTTACTGTGAATGTAGCCCTCGGTTGATCCTTTTGTTCGCTGTCGTGAAGGCACAAGCGTGTTTGGATTGTTTTGCGCGAAAAGCCCTTGTTTTGCACGTTTACACTGCTAGCGTTGAGCCGTTTCCTCGTGCTGCGCGCGTGGACTTCTAGGGGGACTTTGTGAAGTCCGTGGTTGTCGTGGGCTTCGAGGGCTTCTTGGTTGGGGTCCGCTGCCGAATGGGTGGTGATGCCATGACCTGGAGTTGACGCTGTGCTGGAGGCTGATCCCAATGATGTTTCAGGGGAAGCCGACCATGGGGAGCAACCGGAGGGATCAAGGCCACCTTCGGAGAGCGAAAGGTCTTGGGTCTTCAAATCGACGGACCTGGTCCGAAGAGGAGTGGGAAAGATAGAATGCGGCCTACTTCATGTGGAACACGGCGCCGCAGCTTCAGGGGCAGCTGCCAGCACACCTGCCAACTCCAGTGTTGGAGCCTCACCTTCGCCGTGCAGTTGCACATGGAGATCCATGGTGGGGTGTCCAAGGTGATCCATGGCAAGGTCCTGATGAGCGAAGAGGCGGTGGCGGTCAGGACAAGATCCAGGTTCCGGAATGCTCAGGTGAAGATGATCATGATGGGTTGAAGGCCAAGGGGTACCTGAGAAAGATCGAAGGGTCACCCGCCTCACCAAGTCAAAACAAGCCTTGATGCTCTACAACAGCCTCACTGGTCGAGCCTGGCGCGATGCGGAAGTGCTCTATTTGAGTTGCCTCGACGATGAACTGGGCGTTGAACAATTGATCGCTCGAGGTACATGGGCAAGGAGGCGACCAAGGTCGGGCGCTACATGTCGGACAAGGTGCTGAAGCGCCACTCCAGCCAGGATATCCGTGACTTCAACCAGGAGTTCGATCGACAGATCAGCAGGTTGAAATAAGTTGGATGTGCACTACCAGACACTTGCTTAGCTTGGTGGAGGATGGACAATGCCACCGAGCTCAACCTCCTCTCCTCTGTGAACAACCAGTACAGCCTGGACAAGTTGCAGGACGTTGCAATCATCCAGGACCGGATGGAGACCGTCGTCCAGACAAGGATAAGGACAAGAAGAAGGGGCATCAGGCCCTCATGGCTTCCATCGACGAGGAGGATGATTCCGACCTCGAGCTGGACGCTTCTGTGAACGAGGAGGATATGTTGGACTCGACGATCCATGGTCGCATTTCGCAACGCGAAGAGCAAGTGCCGCACTGAAGGAACGTGGTTATGCACCCTCCAAAGAGGAACGCCTTCAACAGGCCAAGGCCAGGAGCTACCGTTCCGTATGTCACAAGAAGGGCCATTGGCGCAAAGACCCTGACTGTCCTACATGGCAGCAAGCGAACCTTGATGTGGGTGTGGACCTGGAGGAGGGGGTTCATCGTCTTCAAGGACTTCCTGACCAACTCCAACGAGGACTTCATCATCTACGAATACATCGCCTCCAACTATTTGATAAAACAATTTGGGAGGTCTATGCTGCTGCGGGGCCGGACGGCATGAAGGCCGATTCGAACTTCCCCGGCATCACTGATTGCGGCTGCAGGCCAGGCAATTGCGCTGGATCCTAGGAGTGCCCATCGGCTACGTGGACTGCGGCGTGGAAGTACGAACAACGACAACCCCACGCCTGACTTGCAAGCCGAAGAGCTCCGCTGCCCCAAAGGCCAAGGGGTGCCGCGACCCGGAGCAGACCGCAGTCCGGCACCAGAGCTGCCTCCAAAGTCTATCTGGAGAAGATCAACGCCTGGGAGAAGACGGTCATGGAGCTCAAGGCACAGCTCGACGTCGCAAAGCTAGGCAGTTAGGGGACAAAGTGAACCAGGAGATCGAGGCAAAGAGGCAAAAGAAGGAGAATAAAGGGAGAAGGGAACCTATGAGCTCGGAGGGTGCCGAGATAGAGGATGGCCAGAGCGGTTTCGAGGAGAAGAACTCTTGGGACGAGTTCATCAAGACCATCTGTGGCGGGGTCAAAAAGAGAACACGAATATCCCAGAGAACCTCGACTTCGACCTCAACAAGGACACCATTCTGGACGAGGAGAACGTTCAGGACATTGTCAACGACCCGAAGGTTCGATTTCAATATCCTGATGACTATGATCGGGTGAAACGACTTCCTGGACACGACGTGAAAAGGGTTGCCAAGAAACGGGGTAGGGGTTGGGCCGTTCGCACCCTGCGGGCTCTGTGTGATGACCACCATCCTGGCGTTCACCGCCGCCACTTTGGAGTCCATCGATAACAACACCAAAGGGGCTCGGGAGTGAGCCACCTCTGGACTTTCTCCACCCGACGAGATGAAGGAAGCTACACCGCACAGGCTATACTTCGGGGGCACTATGCCATAGCCGAGAGCGAAGCGGGAAGCTCGCGCTGTGAAGAAGGACCTCACTAATCGAAGGAATGGAGAATGACGACAACGAGGTCTTCGCTGGGGCACCTACAGCAACGCAAACATCAATCAACTACCCCATGTCTCTGACCCTGCAGATGGACTGGTCACTGGCGGCCGGCGACATCGAGGCAGCCTTCCCAAGAGAGGTTGAGAGATGCATAGGACCCTGTAGTGGTACATATGGGATGGGCTATAAGGCTGTTCAACTTCTCTTGGTCCTGAGCGGGGTCTCTCCACTTCGTGAAGGTTGCGGCGAGACAAATTGGCAGGCACTCTACTTGAAATCAAGGTGAAGGCGGACGGCCATGAACTGCATCTTGCACAACGCCACTTTGACAGATGCCTGTTCCTCTCGGTAGACGAGACTGAGCAGCTCTATGGCATCTTAGCGACACACATTGATGACATCTTGACCAGTCCTCCGTGGGCTCTCAGAAAACAATGACAATGACGGACTGGAATATTGTGGAGTTCGACAGCACATGTAGACTCCCGCCTACAGATGGCGAAAGAAAAGAAGGCTGAAGCCCCATGCTACAGCAGGATGGGCGATCTAGAGGATCTCGCCACCGCCATCTACCATGACGCAGCTTGGGCCAACGCACCCTCTTACGCAGGTCTTCCCCTAATTACTTGGAGGCAAAGGAGACCGGCGCCTACTCCCAACCGGGCTGCTTGGTCTTCATCGTCCACAAGGACACACTTTGCGGAGCTCCTGGGCCAGGACTACTTGGAGCGTGGAAGTTACACGTTTGTCCTCGAGGGTGGAGAAGCACTTTTGTGGCCGAGACCATGGCGGCGTTGGAGGGCTGGGAAGTTGGCATCGCGTTTCGCGACCCCCTGAGACGCTATTTCAGGAAGAGGAAGGACAAGATCCTTCCTTTGGTCTCTTAGACGGACTTTAAAAAAGTCGGCATGATTCGGCCGTCAGGGTGTGTGAATGTAGCCCTCGGTTGATCCTTTTGTTCGCTGCCGTGAAGGCACAAGCGTCTTTGACTGTTTTGCGCGAAAAGCTCTTCTTTTGCACGTTTACAGTTACCAATAGCGATGGCCTCCAACCTAACAGCGTCCTTGCTCCTAGTAGCGATGCCCTTTGTTCTTAGTAGCTTCTTGTTCCCAGTAGTCAGGCTAGGAGCCCCTAGTAGCGTCCTTGCTCCCGATAGCAACGGCCTCCACCTCGTAGCTTAAGATCACTTTGTCGCTCCAAATCCAATCGAAAAGACCCTACAGTCAACCGAGTTGAAGCCATGGTCTCCAGCCTACTAGCGGTTACTAGCGATGGCCTCCACTGGTTGGAGAATCCGGAGAAGTCCAAAAAGGAGGTTCTCCACATTCTTGGAGCTTCTCGTTTTGCCCAAAGCGCCTTCCACGACAAGATTGACCATTCGTGTCATGATTCCGTTCGTGGTCGAGTCCAGAAACAGTCATCCAGCTGCTCGCCTTCTGTCTTTGTTTCAAAACAAACAGCTACGACAACAATAGCGTCACCTTTGTTTCTCCAATGCACCATCGTCTGTTCGCTCCTCGGAAGCGGGACAACAAAATCATGGGCCAAAAAAAAGGAGCACCGTTCACCGGGGCGAGTAGATTCCTTTGCTAGTGCCTTACTAGTAGAAACAAGAAGCTAGTAATTACAATTCTAATTAAATTCTTGCTCCTAGCAGTAAGGCGCTTGTTACTAGAAGCGATGCACTTGTTCCTAGTAGCTTCCTACCGTTCACCGGGGCGAGCTCCGCGACCACCGCACCACTTCTCAGTTGCGACCTTTCCACCCCGCCACTCTCGAACGAAGGCCAGGTTGCAAAGGCCCGCATGTTTCTGTAAAGACGAGCTACTTAGTTCGCAAGTAGTCGTATGTACCGACACTCACCTTTGGCAATAGGAAGCTTATGGCCGGATCGATTTGGGCAACTCTCAGAAACTCTGCAGGCCTCTTGTGGCTCCCCACTTTGGAAGAAGACGAAGCTCTGGACGTACGGTCCAGGTGATTGTGCTCAAAAGCGCTTGACGGCGAGAGTCATTCTTGCGATGTCCCAAATTCTACTAGGGGCTCCGGCCTTACTACTAGGAACAAGAAACTACTAGGGGCTCCTGGCATCGCTACTAGGAGCAAGGACGCTAGGGGCTCCTGGCCCTGCTACTAGGAACAAGAAACTACTAGGGGCTCCTGGCAGCGCTACTAGGAGCAAAGGTTGCTACTAGCAACAAGAGTCCTTCATGTACCCAAATTTTATCGGACCAGTGAGACGTGAGTGTTTTTGTTTGTTTTGCCCTAGAAGAGATGCATTGAAGCCGGAAACCTGTCCGCTTGTGTCTTCGAGCACTTAGCCACCCGCTTCCGGGATTGTCCTGCGCATGAAGAAGCTCTCCAAGTACGCAATGTTCGCGAGTCGTTGAAGTCGTCATTTCGGGACTGTAAGCAACGTCGACACGCCATCAAAGTGTCCGACATGGACGTGTGAAGTTGGCTGCGGAAACCGTTCTTCCAACTTGCGCAAGTTCTGCGCGTCAACCTCCACGTTTGAAGGAAGAAAGCTTGGCGCAAGAGCTCTTCTATATGCGCACAACCATGTTCCCGAATGTTGACACTCGGGCGCTGTGAGCGCGCTGAGCCAACCAGGCTCCTTCTCTTGCTGGCTACCGCATTTGTGTCAAACTTTGGACTTAGTCATTGTTTTCGAGTCATTGGTAATTTTAGACTTGTTCTTTCGCGAGTGGTTTTTCTGGACCCAGAGACCCTTTGTTTTCTGGCTCAGACCGGGCGGAGCCTCGTCTGTACACGCGGAATTTCCCTCGGATGTACACGCGGAGAATTGATCTCGTTTGTGCACGCGAAACTCGGATGTGCACGCGGCTTCCTCGGCTGTACACGCGGCTTACACGGCTGAAAAAATGAATGAATGAATGAAAGAATGAATGAATGAATGAATGAATGAATGGAACCCGACCAGATTGTTTCACAATCTGAACCTTGTTGTCTCATTTTACGTCCATCGCTTTAGATGCGGTGCTTGGGCTGTCAGATCCGTGGACGGGCACAGCGCGCAGACATGCGAGCTTTCATGCGGAACATGTGTCGTTACCAACATCGTCAATCAAACGCAGAGCGTCTGTGTGACGTGAACCTGTGGAAGCAATGAGCAAAAAGAGATCATCATGTAGATGAATGTCCAGAGGGACGTTATTAACACATCATCAATCAAACGAAGCAATGAGCAAAAAGAGATCATCATGACTCAATTTGTGTGTGCGCAAATGAGGCGAATCATGTGTGCGCGTTTGAGTTTGGGGTAACATGGGCTGTTTGAAGAGGAATGTAATCGATGTGTGCGCAGATGAGGCGAATCATGTGTGCGCATTTGAGTTAAATATATAAAAAAGTCTGTGTGCGGATTTGAGGGGAATTATGTGTGCGCAAATGAGGCGCCATCCCTCAGACCTTCACACTTTGCTTTCTTTAAGGCCTCACTTTCTGTTCTCTTTCCTTGGACCGGAAAGCATATACGTAATGTTTTCCTCTTTGGACTCGCCCAGTCCCGGCTTGGCCCGCTCCGGATCACACCGTTCTCGTGGATATTCCGAAGTCAAAGCTCGGATTTTTTGCGGTTCAACACGGTCCCTCTCCTCCCCAAGTAGAGACTACCTACTTAAGGAAATGAGGTAGCTAGTACTAGGATAGCTCGCGGACTATTTGGTTCCTAGATGTGAGAAACCATTTTAGTTCCTTGAACAAATATTTGTGCGGGTGGAACCCACTGAGCCCAAAATGACATGACAAAACGTGAGTGACACTGAGGCAAATAAGCTTGTCAGATGAATTCTCGTGTTTTGTTTGCCAGTTGTAAGTAGCTTAGGTAGCCTAGTAGGGAACTACTCCCTTGCTTAATTGGGAGGGGGAAGGGCAAGCGGGCAAGAAAACGTATTTGTTCTCTTTTCGTTTTCTGCGGCTTTAGTTTGAGATGTCTTGTGTTTCAACCCACACTTCGCAACCAAGGCGGTCTTGTCGGGATGCGATCCAATTATTCCTTGCCGCCCTCCTCCAAACCTGAATCCTTGTCGCCTGGGTAGCCCAGTGAGATCGCAAATGCCGTTTTTGGCAACAACAAAAAAGAAGCAAAGAAGAAGAGAGCAAAAGTTGGGTTTAAATTTGTGAACTAAAGTGTTCTCAAAACGTAACAAATGTTTTCTTCTACAAAAAGCATGTTTTTGTGTTTTTTCTTCCTTGTTCGTGCTCGGTGCTCGGTGAGAACTTGAGGAGTTGATGCTTCTCAGTGTGCCAGTGTTCGGCCTGGAAACCGCTGCATCATGTGCCTTGATACAAAGATAGCTATGAAAGAAAAATAGAAATAGAACATAAAGTAATATTTAAAAGAAAAACAGTCTACAAAGCTAAAGAAAAACACAAGTGAATGCGAGCTGTGAACAGCACACCGCCAGATCAGTGTCTCACGGCAGGTCTTGCCGGCCGCCATTTCTGGGACGTGACTCCGTCTTAAGCTGTCCTGTTGGGAGCACAGAGACGAAAAGGCATAAGACAAGGCTTTCTTTTAAGAAAAAAAAAGAAAAAATACGAAAAAAGAAGAAGACCTATAATTAGGGATGAACATACACCGAAATACGCCTTTTCCGCTCACAAAACGCATGTGTTTTCGAGGTGAGAAACACAGATGGGCGCTTGCTCGGGGATGTGCCGACCTGTCACTCGACCAAAGTTAAGAAGCTACGTTCGGGGCTCCTGGCATCGCTACTAGGAGCAAGGACACTAGGGGCTCCTGGCCGTACTAGGAACAAGAAGCTACTAGGAACCGAATGGTGCGAGCGCTAACCTGCGTCCAGTCGTTAGCGTTCTTGAAGCTAGCGACCGTTTGCTGGCTACCTTCAGCGGCCTACCTCTCCAAAAAAGAAAGGGTAACAAGGTTCGCTACTAGTAACAAGTGCATCGCTTCTAGTAACAAGTGCCTTACTAGTAACAAGAAGCACATAATGTAGATTCTTAATTGGTTTCTTAATTAGGTCGTCTCTCCAAGACCTGGGACAGAGTGGGACAGAGCGAGAGCGTGATGGACCCCGAGGCCAATTGGATCCGGACTTCGACCCCATCCCGTTGGACATCGGTTTTGCCAGTCGGAAAGCCAGACGACGGATGGACGCAAAAGCGGAGGAAGATGAAGATGACGAAGATGACGAAGCGTTTAAAAAAAAAAAAAAACAAGGTTCCATTTCAGATTTCAGGTGACTATGAAGGGTTTCATTGTGGAGCAGGGTACACTGGCCCCGTGAAAACCGTGTGTCGACACTTGGCAGCATTTGCGCAGCGGCACAGCCCCTGCGAACGACGTCGACGCCCCGACGCGCCAGGGATGCAACCAGGCTGCCGGACCACCACGTGACCTGAGAAAAAGATAAATGAGAAAGAAGATGATGAGAAACGAAAAAAACAAAGAACGAGAGAAACGAAGAATGATTTTCTTTTCTTTTTCGTTCATTTTCGTTCTAAAGATCGTTGCTTGTGTCGCTCGGATGGAGTCGAGAGGTATCCCGAAGGCTGTGCTCCGCCCGTCCCCTGCGACGTCGGAAGTTTTCAGGAGAAGTTTAAAAGCAAAGACATCCGACAGTGAAAGAGAAGGGATTAGTAGAAACAAGTGCCTTACTATTAGTTACTTTTAATTAGCAAACATTGTTACTACTAGTAAGGCACTTGTTTCTACTAGCTTCTTGTTACTACTAGCGTGGCACTTGTTGCTCCTTTTTCTGTCGACTTCCGAAAGGACGAAGACGGTCGGCGAGGCGAAGTGGTGTGCAGCACGATGTGTTCGTCGCCCGTCTCGGTCCCTAAGTAGGCGCAGAATCGGAGAGAAGGCGAAGGCAAACAAAGAGAAGGTTTCAGGAAGTCTTGTGTTTCTTATCTCTTTTCTTGCTTCTGGCTCCTAGTAGTCCTTTTGTTCGGAGTAAGGCCAGGAGCGCCCCGTTGGTAGCGTTTTCTTGCTAGCTTTCTTCGAAGGCATCATTGGCGGAAACTTCACCTTTGGGCGCAGTCAGTTGGACACCGTTCTGAATGTTGGACAGGCGTGGACAGGCTTCGCTTCTCAGAGTTCTTTTGAGAAGAAACATTATCGCAAGAGACCCTAAACATCTGTAGCAGAGGTCTAGAAGTGTAGCTTCTTGCTTCTAGTAGTAAGGCACTTTTAAGGCACTTGTTTCTAGTAGTAAGGCACTTGTTACTAGAAGCGATGCACTTGTTCCTAGTAGCTTCTTGCTCCTAGTAGTAAGGCACTTGTTACTAGAAGCGATGC